AATAATAATAAATATATTATAAACAAATACAACACAATAAATAATCAAAATAAGAGACTCTATTATGTGTGCAAATGTATGTGTGTAATAAAGCTCTATTTCTCTCTCTTTCCTATCTTTTACACGAAATTGCAAGATAAGACTTACCTTTCGGGAAGAGTGTCTAAGGTGTTGTAAGCAATATGAAGAACTCTCAAAGACGTGAACTTCGCCAAAGCGTCGAGTGCCGTATCAGTTAGACAATTTGCTGTAAGATATAATTTCTCCAAAGTGTGTGATCCCTGATGATTTTTGCCAGCTTCCTCGCGATACGAAAGTTCGGAAAGACGATTGTTGGAGAGGTTTAAAACTTTCATCCTGAAAAGAAGTTTATAAGTGGCGAGGTGCGAAGTTTATTGCGCTTACAACAACACGAGAAAACACGATAAATTTATGTTACGAAGTTAAATGTGAATGATTTGTTTTATATAAATATACAGCTAAGACCAAATATTGAAAATTTAATTCTTCGTCCGTAGACTGGGTCTCCTAGACCCGCTCAAAAATTGTAAACCGTTGTCTCTAGTGGGTATTAGTTTTGAGCGACATCTGAGAACTCTGAAAAAAAACTTTAGAACCTTAGACAACCTAAGAAGAATTTTGTAAAAATCTTAATTACAAAAAAAACATGAATTTTTAAACAAAAAGTTTTTTTCGAAAAAACATTGTCAATTTTTCTTGAAACGCTTATATCTTAGAAACTGAAGATGTTTTCAATTTGTTTTTTTTTTTTATCAACGCAGAATCGTTCAACTTTTTTATGCAAAAAAAGAAATTAAACAAATATTGATTTTTCACGAAGATATTCGATCTTAAAGTTGCGTGGGCCTCACAGACCCATTTTACAGTTCTCGTAGGTTTTTTTTGTCTGCAGTTGAAGGGTTAATTGTTTTATTTCCAGTTAAATTTTTTAATTTTGCAATATTACTTTTAAAGTCGATGTATTGTTAGTGCAAGTGAGATGTGTTTGATATATTACTTTTCGGTGTTTGTAAAAAAGCTGACTGGCAGCGTGGTTAACATATTGCCTTGGAGAGTCAAATGGACAATGTTCAGTGGTCTTCTGGGAGGTGGCAGCGCTTGTAATCGATTGTGAGGTAGATGAAGAACTTCTAATCTCGATGGTTGCGACAACAGCCTGTCTGGAAGAGCTGTGAGAGCGTTGTGCGATGCGAAAAGCACGCGTAAAGCTGGCAATTCGGTTGTCCATTCTGGCAAAGCGTCCAAATTGTTGCTGAGAACATATAAAGTTTAGGCAAAATTAAAATAAACGACTGAGAAGATAAATGAAAATGCATAAAGTAATTTTATGTTTAATTACATTTACTTACTAGGAAACATCCAAATGCTCGAGATTAATTGGCACAGGTTCGACAATCAACTTCTTCAACTCTAAAAAATGATAAATTGTAGTTTCAGTCTTTTGTTTGTCAATTTTTTAACAGTTTCTCTCTGCTTAATTTTTTCTCGTTATTTTAATCAATTTCACGATTTCTCCGAGAAAAAAACAGTATATAATCGCACTGAAAAAAAAACAGTTTTGTTGAGATTACCAAAATTTGTTTCCAAAATACTTTATTTGTGGTTTGATTTATCAAATTTTTTTTATCTCAACAGAACTGTTTTTTCAGTGCGCACATACAACGTTTATACTCACTATTGTTTCCAGCGATAAGTGATGTGAGATTTCGACCGCAAAGAGTTAATTCCGTCAATTGATTTCGCGCACAGCGCACGCTTCTCAATTCTTGCAGAGCGCTAATATCCAGTTTTTCGATGCTATTTTCACTGACGTCCAGATGCGTTAGATTCTTTATTTTGCGGAACAGAAATAAAGATTTATAAATAAAACAAGCTTCGGAAATTCAAAAAATATAAATTAACTTAAAAGAACTGAAAATTAATTTACCGATGTTGGTGAGAAAGTAGAGATGGAAACTCTATACACACAGTCAACTCACGTACGTCGTGTGAGTTATATATATGTTTATATTTATAATGGTGTGTGCGGACTGCGTGTGACGGTTGACGACAATTTGAATTGTTACTTATGCTCGGAGAGAAGAACTGTGAGTGATTATATTTAATTCTGACCAAAAATTTTTTCCTTCTTTCGTATAATTTATCCTTTCTTTTTATGTTTTGACTTTATTGACTTCTTAAATTTGACATCTGACCAATTTTTGATTTTCCTTCAATTAAAAAAAAAAATTTCAGAAATTACTCTCAATGATTTGTCGTCGATTCTCAGGTGTTATTAACACGCAGTTATAATCAACTTAATTTTGGAAACATTGCAAGTCTTGTGGTAAGATATTTTATTTTTTACAATTTTGCTATATATTCATAAATCAATTACTTCCATGTACAGAACGGACAGAATGTATAATTTCAAAACGTACGAATGTATAATTTCAAACGTTCCATAAATTGACATTTGAAAAGTTGAAGTTTCTACATCTTACTTTCTCACATCAACCAAATTCTTAGTGAATTAATTTTCAGCTCTCCTTTAGATTATTATAATATATAATTTAGAGAGAAAGATATTAAATAAACACACCGACATAACGAGTTTATTTTGTTCTACCAGAAATTTTTCAATCTGGGTTTTTTAAAGAATATTTTATTGAATAATTAATAAATAGAGAACTCAATGATCATAAGAATACTAAAATAAATCTACATATACATATAGATATGCTAGAGCATATGTACATAAACTTACACCATAATTTCCCAAAATTATGTTTCCTTTCAGCTGATTGTTTCTCAGATTGATTTTGTGCAAACTGCTATGATTGGTTTTTTCATCTTTGTAAGGTTTTCCATGGTCTGTCTTTGACAGAACTTCCTACAAATTAATATAAAAATAATTTATATATAAAAATATTGAAAATAAAAATATAATTGTACGCTAATGAAATAAGCGCGCGCGTGTATGTGACGTTAAGAAAACATCGTATGTAGAAAGTTACATCTATATATAATAATATCCTAACGAATTAATATTTAGAAATGACAAAAGAGTTCTTTTTCTCTTTTGTTCATAATTTTCTTTTATTCAGTAAAAACATTGGTTTCTTTAAGCGACGATATTATAATAGCCTTAATTAGCATATCAGAGATATGTACGTTATTATTGATCGCTGCTATAGTATCAAATTACAGAGTCGCGTGTGTCGACTCTCCTTCTCCTTCTCATTCTCCTTCTCTCTCTCTCTCTCTCTCTCTCTCGCTCTTTACTCGCCGCGCGCTATTTAAGTCAACTAAGTAGGGATAGCAGCGAGGTTACTTCTAAGTATGACCGGTAGATGTCCACTCGGGTTGACGTGTCTCTCGTATATAAATTTTGCTTTGCTGCTTATATGTAACCCGCCGTTGAGACCTAACGTTACTCTGGTTTCCCTTCAACACACGAATAAATCTTTCGCCTTTTACTAAAGATTTCCGTGGAGGGGAACAACTTGATGAGTCTATAAGACAATTTTTTTTAGTACCCGGCGAAAGCTGGGTCATAAATCAATTCAAAAATAAAAAATTTTTCTAGCTCTTGTTTGGTCCTGGGAGATTCTCCAGGACCAAATTTTTTCCTGCAATGATCGCAAGTTGTTGCTGCGATGACAAAATTTTGCAGGGGAAGAGTTGTATTTTCTAGTACATGATGTGTCATTGTGACAGAGCTACGCATCAATTCTGGAAAATGCATCTTTGCCCAAAAGATCTTTTCTGATCATTGGTAGAGGAAGACAAGATAAGTTTTTACGTTTATGGACGAAGATGTTGTAAATATCTACATTTAATAATCCAGATCTCTCGTGGTGTAAAAAGAGAGTAAGTTGGTAAAATTTTTTGCTACATTCTCGTGAAAAATACACATACACACACAAAGATTTTTATAAAAGATAAGATTGTCATACAAAATAAAATAACTTGTGTGCATAAACCTTAAAAACTTTATAAACTACAAGTTTTTAATAATTATTTATTTTAACTTTTTTTATTAACAAAATTTTATATTTTCTGTTTAAAAGTAAAACGAAACATAAATTACGAGGCGAAGAATATTTGGCGTGCTCTCTGAAGTCAATAGCTTCGAATATTCAACACATGCACAAGTAGTTACGGTGCAGAAAATTCAATAAGCGCAATTATCGATCAATATAACTGCTTAGAGAGTTCCAGAAGTGTTTAATATCATTTTATCGACTTACGGAGTATAATTTTGCCATCATTGTTCATACATATATTCATACAAAAGATATATTTTAACATACCGTCAGAGTAAGAGCTCGCATCTTGAAAAAAGATGGTGCGACGCTGAGTAAATTTCCAACAAGGGAAATACTTTTTAGGTTTCTCAGCCGTATCACTTCATCCGGTAGGTCCTTGATGCCATTACGGTCAAGGATAAGCTCTTTCAAACTGCAATATAATATAATAATATAATAATAATTTTAGTTTAATAGAAATATATATAATTTTTATATCGCGAATAAATTAACACAAAATATGACACGAGGAATTATTTTAAAAATACAAATTATCAAAAAAATGACAAGAAATGTAAAGTTGTAGCAGATATAATGTAAAATAATATAATAATATTTTAAATAATTTAAATTTTAAAATTAAGATTTTAATAATGTTTATTTAAGTTTTTAATGATTTAAATTTTTTACTAATTTAAGTTTTTATTGGACTCTGTCTCAAAATACAAAAAAAACCTGGTTAATTGTTTAAGGTTGTAACTATCTTTTATATTTTTCAAGAAAAACTTAACAAAAGAGAAAAAGATCTTTAAATCTAAAACGGAATTCATTCACAAGTTTTTGTAGCTTTTCAATATAATGCAATTTTTTTAACGATTATTGCGAATTGTAGTATCTCGATGCCTCGGACACGCGAGTCGGTGAACCTAAACGAGCGAGCCGCCCACAGGATGTGTACTTGAGTAGAAAGTTTCGAATTATAGTGAAAACCTTCGTGCAGTAAACATCTGTGTCATCGACAGACTTTCGATTTTTGCCATCAAAGCAATAACGATTCTATCATTGAACACATCTAATCTAACGACTTTTTTTTTTATAAAAAAATAGAAATAGTTAAAATAGGTGAAATTTTTTTTTTTAATTTCATTGACTCATTAAATGTGTGCGCAAAACGAGATATCGAAAATCAGATTCTAACAATATAGCGCAAACTTACTTCACGAAAACTATTGCGTTGCCTCACTTTGCCGCACTTCTTTATTTCTCACCTCTTTTGCTATTTCTTATTCTTTGCTTGTTGCACACACACACACACACACGCTTGTTTGAAAACACAAGCGTAGCGTTTTATATCCGACTTTAGTTTCTTCACTCACGGTGCGCTCGTACGATTAGTACCATCGAGATATCGTTCAGAGAACACTTGTGCGCGTTTTATGTACGTTCCACAGAGATCTCATTTTTGCGGATTTTTGATTCTCCTCCTTTTTTGTAAGTTATATTAATTATTCTAAACCTTATGTTTCTTATATTATAGTTTATTGCGCGCACACGCGTGACACATTCCAAACAGTTTTCACAGTAAACGCACATTAAAAGACTTCGTCTCGCAGGATATATTTAATTACGCAATTAATGTTATTCTGTTTGTCATATTAATTGCGAAACCACACACACAATAACGATCGTGTGTGATCTTTGATTACATTTGTCACGCACTCTTTCCGAATGTTTCGAATTCCGCCAGACTCCGCATCACAATCGTCTATTATATCCTTGTTACAGACAACGTCGCCACTTTGTGCAACACAAATCTTCCAAATCGCAAATCATAAATTTTACACGAAAAAAATTGACAAAACGTAAACAACGTAGTAGTACATCTCGTACAACTTATTTTGCGCACTTTGAAGTTTGTATGACACACAATGTTTATCACCGATCGCGTGTAATCTCGAAAGAATTGTGTAATCACGAGATACGCGCGCGAGATAAAATAATTATATTTGCTGTGTTTTGCAACACTTTTCAACACCGTCCAGATATTACAATTTACGACGACCCAGCACGCGGAAGTAATTTCCCGCGGCCAATGAATTTTTTGCAGAAGATGCACACTCGCGACGACTCTTCCGAGGACTAAAGAGGTCGGTTGAAAGGCGAACTTATTCCTCCTGAGGAATTACCGTCTGCTCGCGGGAGGGAAGAAGAGGGAGGCGCCGACCGAGAATGGGTTGGTTGACCACTCTGATGTAACAGAACAGAAATTGTCTGCCGGTGTGTATGTACGAGAAGCGGTGCCGCCGAGCGATAATGCCGTAGCATCTCCGTCCGGAGACATGCACCAACGATAGTCGACGTGTCCCGGCGCGAAACCCTTGTTACATATATAATAAACTCGAATCTCACATGAATAACACCGTCTAATTACATCGCTTATAATGTAATGCGCGATAAAGTATCACATTACCGTCAAAATACGTTCGTGAGAAACGTAAAGCAATTTTACGAATTATCGGCTCGAAACACAGACGTCAAATCGTCAAAGTCACAGCGTTTAAAACCGTGCGAAAGTTTCCGCTTGATTGTTCTCGCAAAAAGTAGCGTGATGGTTTTTCAAAGAAAATTAATTGCATTATTGTTAATATATGCGCGAAAGAAAAGAGAACGAATTTAATTATAGCAAAAGTCCATAAAGACTTAAGCCTTTTATTATCCTTGCCTTAAGTTCCTTTGCCTTTGAAAGTCTCTTTTGTTCTCGTCTATCTGGGTCAAACCGAGGTATATACTCGGGAAGCTTCCGAGGCATTATCGCGCGTGTCGCATAATTTTAAATTCAGATGACATTGCTTTTCTCTCTGTCTCCGGGTTGTTTTTGGACATTTTATTTCGAATGACGGTCGAAAGCGGAATCGCGTGCGGAATTGCCCTCGAGTTGCTCGACTACTCTCTTAGTGCGGTGGAAACAGGGTTGGGCAACAGCTCTTGGAGAGTCGTGCGTCGAGGCAGTGGCGCAAGACGCGACACAGGTGGAAACCGCAGCACGCGAGCTAAAAAGCAGCGAAGTGTTTGTGAAATTTTATTGAATTTTGACAAAGTTTATCTTCAACAATTTTCTTTTTTGAGAGAAAAATTATTTTGCACATAACTCTTCTATCTGAAAAAAGAGAGCGGGAGATGTAGAACAAGTCTCTCTCTCTCTCTCTCTCTCTCTCTCTTTACTGAGATACCGAACAAAAGTAGGCCTTTGTAAATTCGCCTTTAGCTTCATCGATGGTAAATCTGTACGAGAAACCCTTTTACCTTCCACGCGTGTGTAACTGGTGCGCGGGTGTGAGCGCGTGCAACGTCGTCGTCGTGTTCACACCCCGTAGTTCCTTCCTCCCGCCGGGTATCCTCATTTCCGGCCGGTGGAAAGCGGTTTTCGAGAAATTTTACGTAATCTCCGTTTCGATTGTGGAGTTCCCTCTCTAGATTATAAGATCAAGGCGTTTTCGTAAAAATTGTTTAAAGTAAAAGTGAAAACGCTCGCAGATACGATATCTTCGCGAGTCGATCTAATATTTTGAATTAACAGAGCGATGCAACTTAAAAAAATTAAAAGGTAAAAAAAAAAAACAGGCAAAACTGACATATTAATTATAAGAAATTAATTATAAGAAACTATTTCTTCTTTATTAATCAAATATGTTTATTATAAGAAACATCTATAGATTTGCTCGTTCTTTTAAGTTTTTATTATATGTTTTAAACGAGCTATCTAATTTATTTAATAAGTCGATATTAACAAGTAAGTAAAAACAAAATATACAAAAAAAAAATAAAATAATTATATTTTACTATCTATATTATAATTTTCTAATCAATTGTGTCAGATGTTCTGTAGTTGTTGTGTGTGTGTTAGATGTTGTTTCTTGAATTTGTATTTGTTGTAATACTCGTTCCGCGATACTTGCATTTTTTTTCGATAAGACAGAGAATTACAGCGTTATTCGATTGTTATCGCTCGCGCGCGCTGATTTTCCACATGAACCTGTTATCACCGCTGATCGACAATAGCCCGTGATTAATGTGTTGGTAATTAATTGTGCTTCTAGATTGATGCGCATAAATCAGGTGGTATGGAGGGAAAATTTAGCCGCATTAATGCATACTAATCGTCATCGATTGGAACGGATCTTCCAAAATCTAAGTATAAATAATGAACATCGATTAATTTCATTATTATTTTAAACGTCGTTAATAAGATGGTCAATTGTGATGACGATTGTGAATACAGAAGTACTTAAAATTTTCATGATAAAACGAAATAGACTATAATTTTCGAGAAATCAATTGTTATGTTACAAACTATGTTTTTTTTTTACATTTAAATATTGCGTTACCATTGTGATTTTTGATTAATCTGTGTTCAAAAGTTAAAAGATAATAAAAAGAAATTAGAGATAGCCTCTTAACTATCTGATAAACTCCGACGACAACAATTGACAAAAGACATTTCTACACACACCTGAGAAAGAAATATTGCAATTTAATCTGTTTTTGTTTCGATTCGACACAAATACGTTTAAACAGAGATAAATGAACATAATTATACGATATTATATACGTACTTGACCAGCTGGCAGATGTCAATTGAAATTATCTCGATCTTATTGTCCGAGAGATTAAGATAGGTCAGTGCCGGCAGTTCCAGCAATTCCCTCGGGATTCTGTGGAACTCGTTACTCTCCAGATGGACGGCACGAAGTTTGGGGAACCTACGCGGGGGAATAGAGAGTTACGTACAAATTAACTACCAATTAAAGTTTCCTTGTAGTCTCGCCGCGTTCTGTTATCAGATGTGCACTATTTGTTCTACTTCGTTCTTATCGCAAGGGATTTAATCTATCTGCTCTAATTACTAGATTTGCCGCAAAAAGTAATTTTATATTGTTCGTTTTTGTTTTACTTGGTAATTTTTTTTACTGTGTTGTCACACTCAGAAAAAATTGTAATGCGAGGCGGATATAAAAAAAAAAAGCTTATATACAGGATCTCGTTGTATTGTATCTTGAACTTGTTTATTTTAATCGACCGATCCGTCGTTTGGGTCTTTCTTCAGTGATTAACAAATACAGAATATAGAAAGAATTGTAGAGAAAAAAATTAATAATCGCGCAAATGTGAAGTGAAATTAGTCGTCATTGTGTCAATAATTGTAAAACAGGATGAACGGCTAAAGTACTTTACACAAGAGACATAAAGTATTACTTAACGTAATACACCAAGATTCTGTATACAGACTTTTTTATTCTCCTCGAATCGCCAAATTTATCTTTTCGAAAGCTATTTTCATTCGCAGAGAAAATCTTCGGTCATTATTTGTTTGATAATACAAAACACAAAAATCGAAATATAAACACGTTATATATTCATATATTGCATATATATAATTTATACCTGTGTAGAAGCTTCAGATTGTTGTCCACGTTAGTAAGCTTGTTGTATCCTAAGGCGAGCTCTTCTATTGCCGGAAAAGCAATCGCACTGTCGGGAATCCTCGACAGACCTCCTTTGCTCAGATCCAATTTTTTCGGACATGATGACAACTGCGTAGCCTGTCGAATTATATCAAATTCAAATACGTACGCGCATGTATGTGAAAGTAAAACTAAACTTAAATCAGATTATTGTTGCAAGTTTCATAATCAATCATGAAGTGACAATGCCGTTTACCTCGAACTCTAAGGAGTCTGTGTCTAAAATGTCGTGATTTGCCTCAAAATCAGACTCTTCCATGATAGCGATCAAATAATCTCCGATACGCGCCATATTATTCACATTTTACACAATTGTCCTAACACGAAAAGTCCAAGTTTATCGTAATAAAATTCTCTCACTTAATAGTATGTATACCTACAGAGCGGGTCACAATTCAATTCACAAAACATGTAATAAAAGTTTGTTTAATAAAAACTATGCGTATATAATATGCAAATATTTAACTTCACATATTTCGATCCTATTACGTTTCATCAAATTCAACGTCGACGCTTTTAAAATTCATTACGCTGTTTTAATTAATGTTGATTTCGGTGAATGACGTTTCGCGTTTCATTGTGATTCTTCGTACATTACGGCACAATAGTGCGATTCAAATCAATCGGTTCGTTAGCGCGCAGACGAGAGAGATCGTTTAATAACGAATCAATAATTTAACAATATCCATACGGCGCGAGATGATTAATCAGACACGGAGAGAGTCTCTCGCGTTTGTCGAGACAAACGTGCCACCAAATTTCAACGTTGTAATTTCGTCGCGTTATTTCGATTTGTTCTCCCTGAAGGTTCGGAATTTCCAAATTAAAATCACCAATCAACGCGCGGCGCAATTATCGCCACGCGCTTTATAAGTTAAATGCGACCTTCCCCCCACTCTCCAATCGTTGGAAGGTGCAGTAATGTTTAATATGACGAGCGCAAACAAAAATAAAGAAAAAATCTTTAAATACTTTTCTCATTATAATTTTAGTCTATGTTTGTTTCCAATATACGCGCAAGTAATATCGCGTTCACAATTTACGCTATATTTTTCGATGATGTTGTTTAAATAACTTTAATATAGATGAAATTAAAAAATTAAAAAATCTTGAAGCTTCATACATACATCTTTACGTATTTAATATAGATGTTGTTTAAATAACTTTAATATCGTTGGACAATATTCAAAGATTATAACGCATTTAGCACCGTGCTAAACTTTATTGTAAGAAACCGACGTAAGGTAGCGTCGGTGCACGAGCAATATTTGTGCCGACAAGTATTGTTCTGCTCGTTGCATCGGCTACAAATAGCCTCATTGTTCGCGGCGAACTTTCAACCGAACAATGAAGACGTCAGTCATAGGTTTCTTATCGGTGTCGGATTCGTCCGCAATCGCGCTCTACTCTCTTCCTAAAACAATACAACGTACAAAAATCGCTACCGATATCGCTAGAAAGCAAAACATTGCGCGCGTCATATCATATATTGGATGTGACAACCAAAGAAAAACAAATATAAATAAATTGTACAGATCGTACACGGCTTTTCTTTTTTTTTTTTTTTTTTAGCATTTAACACATTTTTCACATCCACCGCTTGTCTCTTCTACTGGGTTTATTTTTCTCGTATAATAATAATAATAAAAAAAAAAAAACAACAACGAAAAATTCAAGCTTGATAGATTCTTTGCAACGGATCTTTAGAAATTCCGCGTTTCGCGATAACGCAGTTACCGTCGTAATCGAGAGCCTTTTCCACGCGACACCATTAGACGAAGTGCCACCCGTTGATGAAGGAGAAAATGGGATTACGGGTGAAAAGCGAGCGATATACACAGTTTGTCCGGAAAGTTCCCGGACTGATTTTTTCTAGCGCGGGTAAGCGGCGCTATCGAGCGGTCAACGCTGGAACTACTTAGTA